TCTACCACTTGAGCCACAGCGCCACTTCCAGCTTTTTTCTTTTTGCTTATGTAGTACTGAGGAATTGAACCCAGGGCCTCATACATGCAAGGCAAGCGCTCTACCACTGAGCCACCTTCCCAACCCCACTGCATAGCTTTTAACAGTCCTGAATTTATATTTTAAAATTACCACAATGATTTAGGGACAGAAAATGTAACACCTGTTCGAGCAGAGATTGTAGCACAAGTCATTACTGTGGTTAGTGCCATCTCAGCCTGTGTGACAGGACAGGAAAGCTTTGGATTGGAACAGACTTGGTTATGATGGACTGACCTGATAAGGGAAGAAATTATTAATGTATATTCATTATAGGTATTAGTGAGCTTTACTGTGACATATCCACACACATGTATACTGTATTTTGATTGTATCTCCTAACTATCTCACTGTTTGTTCTCTCTTCCCTTGGCCCTCCTTACCCTTCCTAATAGTCCCTTTGTTACTTTTAGGTTGTTATTAAAATAAAACAGATAGTTTTTGCATATGAGAAAAAATATTCCGTACTTGCCTTACAGACAAGGAAGACAAGGAAATTTGTCTTCCTGCCTTATTTCATTTTGTGTGATGACCATATGTCTCCTGCAAACAATGTGATTTCATTCTTCAGTATGGTTGAAAAATACTCCAATATGTATTCCATATATTCTTTATTTATTTATTGGTTGGTAGGCATTTAGGCTGATTCTGTAGCTTGGCTTTTGTGACTAGTGCTGCAGTGTACTTGGGTATGCAAGTACTGAGAGGGATTTTGCAAATAAAAAGACAAAACTAAATGAGATTATCTTACTACAAAATCTTTAAGATTCTTGGTAGATGACCATGGAAAGATGAGCATGGGAAGAGAATGTATAGCTCTCACAGCTGATAATAAATGTTTCAAGAAGCTATGCCCATAGTACCCCAGGCTCTGTGTTCATACTTGGGAGAAGGGCTGGTTATATGTATATATTTTTTTAATGGGCAGAGCTAGGTAGAGTCATTCAAAGTGAGTTGCATTTTATGAGACATTAGGATCACCATTTTAACCAGATGCATAAAAGGTAAATTTGGAATAAGAGGTCCACTGGTTCACCCAAGAAGAGAGGAATGCAACTGTGCGTGGAGATGGAGAGTCAGTGAACTACTGTGAGAACTTGTGGACTTAGTGAAAGGGAGCTGCCTGGAGGGCTTCACTCTGGCTGGACCATGAAGCTTCTGGTCTGTACCAAAGCAGCCTGATGATGCATCCTGACTTGTCTTGTGCCCTGTGCCTTCTGTGCCCTCGAATCCCTGTCCCTCTTGTGGAAGGAGGACTCGTGTCAGCATACTCCAAAAATTAATAATAGAGAGTATAATGGGCTAACATGTGGGACAGAGTCCGCAGTTTTGGGAACAGTAGTTTCTCTGTCTCTCTCTGTCTCTCTCTCTGTTTCTGTCTCTCTCTTTGTCTCTGTCTCTCTCTCTCTGTCTCTGTCTGTCTGTCTGTCTCTCTTTTGAAAACTATTGGGTAGCACCCGCAGAAAACAAAGTAGAATCAGTAAGATGAGGGGACACATGTGGTGATGGTAGATACCGGCATGGACTCTGCATCTGTATGGCATGGGCCCAAGAAATACGAACAGCAGGTACAGGAACTGACTATTCATTTGTTGATGTTCATTTAGACTGATATTGTAAATTGGTTTTGTGACTATCCATTGCAGATCTACTTTTAGTTTAACAGATTTATGACATCTGGCAAGAAGTGAATCTGTCTTCCAACCCTGGGGCCTTAGGAGATAGTTTTTGGCCCCTTTTGTCTTGTCCTAGAGGGGAGAAATTGCCTCTTACTGGCAGTTGCTGTTATAATTCCACATGGTTCTTCCTTTCCTTTTGTTCTTTTATGCTTGGGGTTTAGTTTTAAAAACCTGTGTCTGGTTGCAGCTAAGTTGAGAAGCGCTAGTGAGCTCAAGCATGTTGACAAGGCTGAAGGAAAACTGGAATAATGCAGAGAATATTGGTGCTTGTCAGGATGCATAGCCATTAAAGCCAGTATTTGATTTTTTTTAAATTACTTTATTTTGAGATGGTGTCTTGCCCAGGCTAGTTTTGCACTCCTAGTCTCAAGCCTCAGGACCCCTGGGCTTGGGTTACAGGTATGTATTGCTATGCCTGAGTTTATTTTTTAGGGAAAGGTCAAATGCTGTTCTTTTGAATTTTAGTTTGGAGATGGGGAGAAAGAAATTAATAAAAGGATTCCAAGAATTAGGATAACAGGGTACTATATTTCTTGAAATATTTAAGCTAAGAATATTGAGAAATTCTAGTCTATAGGTATGTAACATTAGGCCACTTAGGAATAGACATTAGAAATATAACTCTAAGACCCATGGGAAGAACACTGAAGGAATATATTTGTCTTAAAGCTAAGGCATTTCCCAAGTTTGGGTGCGTATGCCTGTAGTTTTGAGGAAGGTACCTAGCAGTGAGTGATCAACTGAGAAATAGGAGGAGAGTTCCAAAGTAAAGTATGTTTTAACTTCAGTGGAATTTTAGTAAGCAAGGACAATAAGGACATGGCTTATGTAGAATTTCTGTGACTTTGGGAGTTGTTTGACAGAACCTGTCAGAGAATTACGTGTACTTAAATTATTGAAGAAATGATAAAATAGAGGTCTTATTTATGGCTAAATAATTTTAAATTGTCCTAAACATGTTCCATCATTTGAGGATTAAGTTTCTTTGTTGTTTTTTTTCTTCCCTTTTTTGGAATGACAGGAATTAGTAAAAAAAATATGAGAGAAGCTTAATTTTAATTCTGGTTCTGACATTATATATAATGATAATTTTGTGTTTATGTTTTCATGTAGAACTAAAGCCATTTGTTTCCTTTTTATTAGACTTGTGTGCGAGACAGAGCCATTCTTTCTATCCTGGCTGTCAGGAATATCAGCAGAGAAATAGCTGAGAAGGCTGTTGATGAAGTCTTTGAGTCTTGTTTCAATGACCACGAACCTTTTGGAAGGATTCCACATAGCAAGATCTATGCAAAATACGCTCACAGAGACTTCCAGAATCGTGATCGGTATTACTCAAATATATGAAGGCAAGACGATGTATGTTTTATATGAAGGCAAGGACGATGCATGTTTTAGTGCTTTAGTGATCATGAAGAAAAGATGGCTGTTAAGGAAACATATATAAAAGGTAAATGATCAACTGAGTCTAGATAAAACAGGATACTGCTTTTAAGATACAATCAGAGGACTTACCTGCCAAAAAATGAAACTGCTTTGAACTCCAAGTCTCAGTTTATGTCTTTGTAGCTAATCAATTGGCAAATGAGACAAATAAATAAATGACATTTTTGTATTTTCTGCAGTATAACTGTGTTTTTAGACTTTTTCTTTTTGATTATTGTACTTTAAAGCCATGCACTTGTGTCTCATGCATGCATGTAATCCTAACTATTCAGGAGGCCGAGATCTGAGGTTGGAGGTTCAAAGCCAGCCTGGGAAGGACAGTTTGAGATTTTTACTGCCAATCAACTACCAAAAAAAGCCAAAGTGGAGTTGTGGCTCAAGTGGTAGAGTGCTAGCCTTGAGCCAAAAAGCTCAGGGACAGTACCCAGGCCCTGAGTTTAAGCCGTAGGACTAGCCCCCCCTCCCCAGTATATATTATTGTCCTTTTTAAAAAATTACATAAGATTATCTTAAAACTTGATTAGGAAGCCTAAGGAGCATGCCCTTGCTCTTGTGCGATGTTGTATTTACATTAAGTGTATAGAAAAATAAACTTCATTATAGAACATTGATGAGATGTTATCATGATCAAAGTATATAAAATGAGAATAATGAATAAAAATGAAACTAGGAATAATGAAAAATTAATTCAAAGGTCAGTGCAATTTTCTCCCTCATCCTTTATATGTGTGCATGTTTGTGATATATGTGTGTGTATATATATAATGTATATATATATATACACATATATGTGTATATATGTGTGTATGTATCACATACATGGACATACACATATACACACAGAAAGGATATAGGTTAATTTTCTGGGACATTCCATATTAGGGTTTTTTTTTGTTTTTGTTTTTGTTTTGGTTGTGGGGCTTGAACTCAGGGCCTTGATGCTGTCCCTGAGCCTTTCTGTGCTCAAAGCTTGCACTCTACTACTTGAGCCACATTGCCACTTCTGGTTTTTGAGTGGTTAATTGAAGGTAAGAGTCTCATGAGGACTTTTCTGCCAGGCTGTCTTTGAACTGCAGTCCTCAGATCTCATCCTCCTGAATAGCTAGGATTACAAGCTTAAGCTACCAGCACCTGGCTAGTTGTGTGTGTGTGTGTGTGTGTGTTGTGTGTGTGTGTGTGTGTGTGTGTGTTTACTGGTCATGGAGCCTGAACTCTGGTCCTAGGCAATGTCCCTCAGCACTTCAGCTCAAGGCTAGCGCTCTAACACTCGAGCCAGAGTGACACTTCCGGCTTTTTCTGCTTATGTGGTGCTGAGGAATCAAACCGAGGGCTTCACGCATGCAAGGCAAGCACTTTACCACTGAGCCACCTTCCCAGCCCCCCGTTTTTTGTTTTTGTTTTTTTAAGATTACATTAAATATCTAATGTAATCTAATTTTAATTTTTATGTATTTGTAAGACCTGTCATTTTCTTATTTCTTTTTTTGGTCTTTTGTAGCCTTTTTTTTTTTTTTTCCCCAGGGCTGAGGACCAAACCCAGGGCCTTGCGCGTGCCAGGCGGGCGCCCTTCCACTGGGCTAAACCCCCAGCCCCTCTTTTTCTTATTTCTTGTCAGGCCTTCTGTATGACTTTTGCACTCAGTAAGCCTTCTCATTTTTATCTGCGCCCTTAGCAGAGGGGTTGCCTGCACCTAACACCTGCCCTGGGCAAACAGCATGAGGATTATATCCAGACTGAAAGATCTATGTATAGATCTATGTATAGATCTAATCAATTAGCAGCTGGAAGAAATGACGTTATTATTGGCATGATTCTTTCTTTCAAATAATTTAAAATTTGATATAAGTGATAAAATGATACCTCATGCCTAATAATTTATTAGACATTAAAAATAAGTATGAGCTGTTGATTCCTAGCTACTCATCTACTCAGGCTAAAATCTGAGGATCAAGGTTCAAAGCCACTCTGGGCAGGAAAGTCTGTGAGACTTCCTATTTCGAAGTGGCCACCAGAAAACTGGAAGTAGTGCTGTGGCTCAAAGTGGTAGAGTGTTAGCTTTTGAATGCAAAAACTCAGGGACAGTGCCCAGGCCCTGAGTTCAAGCCTTGTGTCGGACTAACAAAAAAAAACAACAGCAGGCAAAGCCACAACAAAATGAAACAAAAAACCCAACCCTGCCAAGGTTTGAAGATTATGTGAAGGTCAGGTAGGAAGCACCAGAAATCTGCTCCACTTGAGGCAAAAAATTCACCAGCAGAATCTGCTATACTTGTTTTGAAACTTGAGGCTAATGAAGGCTTGCAGCTTACAAGGGGAAGCTTGGATGGTGAATCATAGCTCCTTTTCAGTCTCTTTTTTTTTTGGGAGGGGTGGTCGTTCTTGGAGCTTGAACACCTGGCTTGGCATTGTCCCTGAGCTCTTTTACTCTGGGCTAATGCACAGCTCTACTTCCAGCTTTTGTGAGATAAGAGTCTCATGGACTTTCCTGCCTGTCCTGGCTTTGAACTGCAATCCTCAGATTTCAACCTCTTGAGTAGCTAGGATTATAGGTGTGAGCCACTGGTGCCCATTTTTTCCCAATTATTTATTTATTTATTTTTTGTTGGTCATGGGGCTTGAACTCTGGGCTTGGGCACAGCTCAAGGTGAGCACTCTACCACTTGAGCTACAGCATCACTTCCTTTTTCAGTTATTTTATTTAATTAATTAATTTATTTTTTGGGTCCGGTTGAGGGGCCTGAACTCTGGGCCTGGGTGCTGTTCCTCAGCTCTTCAGCTCAAGGCTAG